CATAAAACCTAGCAGTGTATATAAAATCATCATCATCACCATCTAGACTGGTAATCTGCTATAATTAACCAGTGATACTACAACAGTTTCTCCTCTTTACTTAATTACCTATGAATTACTTCATTTTGCCTCTCTGAATTAGTGCATATCATTCGTGCATGTTTAAATATGTCTTTTTTCCTCAACCACTATAGTATTTTAAAACTTCAGAGCCTAAGACCATCAAACAGCTCTAAGCACACAGAAAAACCCTGAATTTGCATATAGATGGGTCATTCAGTCAGCATATACACATTAAATGATTCTGAATATAGCTGACACATAATGTTACATTAGCTTCAGGTGTACAACATAGTGATTCCATGTTTACACATTATACTGTATTCATGACCAGTGTAGCTACCACCTATCTTGATCCATCACTCTTACGGTAGCATTGACTACATTCCTTCGTGACTTATTCATTCCATAACCACAACCTATATATGTATCCCTGTATCGCCCACCTCTCCCCCATTTTTAAATTTTAAATTAAAATGGTTTTTAATTTACTTGCATGTTGATCCTTTTCAAAAAGTAGATAATCCAATTTACTTTCAAATCATCAAAGGCTAATTCTGCTATATTGGTAAGTCTGTGAAAACTGCACAGATACAGTTTAAACTTCCTTAAAAAATCAAATAGATTGGGGCGCCTGGGTGGCTCAGTCGGTTAAACGTCCGACTTCAGCTCAGGTCACGATCTCGTGGTCCGTGAGTTCAAGCCCCGCGTCGGGCTCTGGGCTGATGGCTCAGAGCCTGGAGCCTGCTTCCGATTCTGTGTCTCCCTCTCTCTCTGCCCCTCCCCCGTTCATGCTGTCTCTCTCTGTCTCAAAAATAAATAAAACGTTAAAAAAAAAAAAATTTTTTTTAAAAATCAAATAGATTATTAAAAAAAACACACAAGCAAACAAAAACCTGGTTGTTTAGCTCTTCCTACTGATTCTGTAATGACCTTCATATTGTTGCTTGCAATCAAGGAACGCTTCTTAATATACTCATTTTGAGGAGTATATTTGAAAGTATAGACAGTCCCACAAAACAATACTATATTTCACAAAAAGATGGAAGTAGAGAATGCAGTCTGGGTAGATACTTCCAGAAAAACACTAAAGGAAACCTGTAATTTACCATTTCAATAAGGAGACTTCTTGCAAGTACCAATCTGTACAACAAAATCTTTTACCAATCCATGAAAACAAAACCCCACAAAAGGAGACCTTAACTCACTAGAATTTTAATGACTTGTTGGAGGTCTCTGGCTGTTACACACCCTGAACACCTACAACTCCTTCATCTAATCATTTCATTAACATAACGATTCTGCTAATTGTCAGTGATCTTTATCCTAAATCACATTTCCAACTTGAAAAGCATAACTTTTACCCGAATAAAAATTTCCAGTTCAGTTTTTCTTCTTTTTTCAATTTTCTCTGCCTCAATTTGACAAGTGTGACAAATGTACAGATGGTTGACAGCTGGTCCTCCTCCATACCTAAAGCAAGAAGAATTTAATAATTATGATAATGTTAAAGAAAGTTCATGTTCTAGGAAATCTTTACTAGGCTAAATCCCTAGTAAAGAATCAATCGCCACAAAAAAATTCTCAGTCATAATTAAACTAACGTAAAAATCAAATAATTATAACAACTTGATTTTCTGTTTATCAGGATGACTATCAATGTATTAAGTAACCTGCTTTATATTTTAACTTTCCCTTACAGCTACTTCTGCTACCAAAAACGCTAGAGGTAACAATACAAAGTAAAAGAGGTGGCTTTCAAAAAATTACAATACAACATGTTATTGCAGCCATAGTCTTAAGTTTTAATCAGAAAGAGGCTTTCCCTGGCTTTTAAGTAAGAATTCATGGAATGAATTATTTTCAATATATATATATATTTAAGAGTGAGTGTGTGTGCACACAAGTGCAGGAGGGGCAAAGGGAGAGAGAGAGAGAATCTTTTTTTTATTTTTAACTTTTTCTAATGTTTATTTATTTTCAACAGAGAAACAGTGCACAAGCAAGGGAGG